TTGTAAATAAAACAATATTTCCTGCACCTGTCATAGTCGTCCACATAACGTCAAAAAAAATACGTTCAAATGTTGAATGTCATATTGACGTACAAGTTGGGTCATGGATGGACGTTCAAATTGTGGACCTAGTTTGGACGTTGTATAGATGTCCAGAATTGGTCATGGACTGACGGACCTAATATAGATATGATCTGCACCTCTATCCGACGTCCAATGTTTAGTGGGCAATGTCATTACTTGAAATATAAATTAAAATAAACATGAATTATTAATTACAAGCAACTTGTTTTAATGCCCGTTGTCACGGTATATAATCGCCTTACAAAAGAATTGCAGAGTTTATAAACGGCACTTAAACAAAAATAAAGGAAATCAGTTTTACAAATTAGCAAACGTTTTTTCTATAGTTGTAATAATAATAATAGAATGTGCAACAATAGAAAAATTAAGCCTATAGCTGCTCTAACAAGAAAAGACTTGGGTACACATATATTAACAATTAATTGTTCAAACACCATGCAGCGGGTTATTGACGGCGTGAGCTTCACTTCCTTGTAGTTCACTGGTAAATTATTCAAGTAAGATGCCAGAAGCGGCGGAAAAACTGTGTGTAGTCTATTTCTTTGTAAAAGGCGGCTGCTGCAAATACGAGTACTATTACGCTGTTTCTGGAGTGGATGAGCGCAGTGAACAGATAGAAAGATCCCTGGAACAGGTGAAGGAAAGCTGAACAGAGAAAAAACAACGACTTTAGGAAGGATGAGATACACTCGACAAGGTGACTGGTGTTTTCCAAGCTCTGAGTGACTAGGCGCATGAAAGCGGAAAGGGTGACTTCCGATGGATTGTTTTCATGTTTCCAGTTTTTTTGTTTATGTGTCTCACCGCGAACATCGCTGGGCCTCAGGCGCGCTTTCATGGCACTTATCAGCCATAGGAAGGCCGGGCAGACGGCCAGACGCAGGTTGAGGATGGCCAAAAGTAAGAGGGAGACGGATTCAGCCGCATAGCGAAGACACAGTTTCACATGGCGTATTGTTCGATCTGAAAATAAAGAAAGAAACGAACTATTTCTGTCAGTTGAACTAATCAGACTATTACTTTATTACTAGACTATTACAACTGACTGAATATTCGCGTACTCTGAATCCCGTTCCTATGAGTCAATCTGATTTATTAATATTCACATATGACAAGTCCTTCCAGACATAACACATCTTCTAGCTTTGCAGAATAAAATGGTATTTATTACCGGTAAATCTCATAAGCAAAAACTGTCTTCGTTTTAGTCACTGAAAGGGATACTCTAGATTCACGCAGTAAATTGTCCCTCATAAATAACATGCAGTTTTACTATATATGCCCCTAAAGCACGATTTTGTGAGCTTTCTTTCTTACCATCAATCGCTATAAAGATCAGACCAGCGACCCATATTGATACATTTAACGGATCCATTATGACCTTCCGCGATTATGCTTCGTGAATTAGGAATTCTTTCCTTCTCGACACATCAGAAATGAAACCGAAACACGCTTCGTATACATTCGTAAGGATCGGTCCCTGTCCTGCCCCTCCTTCGTGATGTCTCGTCGGATCAAAATACTTTTGAAGCCAGCTTCATCAGTTTGTTTGTATTTGGTTTTCTGTTGCCCTTTTGTTTCCTAGTGCTTAGTACTTAGCATGATTCCCTATTTTGATTTTCCCCGCTTCTGCTACGTTTTATTATTCCTGTGTATTCTTATATATATATATATATATATATATATATATATATATATATATATATATATATATATATATATATATATATAGTCCTAGTGCTTCCTAGTGTCGCTATTCTGGTGTTTTGCTGTGTTTCTTGGTTTACAGTTTTTGCTTGCCTCCCAGTTTCTGTGTTCATTCAGTGTTATTGATTTCATTTGTTGCTTGTTGTCCTGTGTCTTTTGGTTAATTGAGTTATTGGTTCCCACCTGCCCCGTGTCATGTCTCATTAGTTTACCATTTAAGTGCTTGCCCTTTTTTTCTTCCTTGCTGGTTCAGTGTGTGTGTGTTCGTTCACGATTACTGTGCATTTCGTACTCTGCTTGGTTTCTAGTCTTGTTCCTTGGTTATATATGTTCAAGATTCTTGTAGTTAGTTCTTGTTTTCCCCATTTATTTTTTGACTCCTTGAGGTCCTGTTATTTTTCTGATTTTTTAGTTTCCCCAATAAACCCCTTTCGTCTTGTAGCTGCTAAGTGGATCGTCACCTTTTTCCCTGCCAGTGCTGTGACAGTTTTTTTTAACAAAATAAATAATTAGCTTGGCCACATGAACGCTATAATTAGAGAAATGTAGAAAGTTACACTACAATCTATGTAGCATAAGTAGCTAAACTACTGTACATCGAAGCTACTTTAAAATGTAGTCTCTAGGAATAACTTAAAAATAATATTCACGTTCCCCATTTTTCAAATTATTTATTACAATCATATTGTTATGAATTAAGGTATCTGGAACTTCTACTACTGGCTGGTTAGAAACGTGGCTGCTGTGGTGCATCCAATAAGTGCGTAGAAGATGTTTTCTTCAACTTTAATAAAGACTTGAGTTTGAGAGTTAACAATTAATGCTCTGTGGTTGTGTAGTTCTGAAAGTAGAAAATAACAGTGAGAATGCATATTATATATAAAGCACCCAGATTACTAAGGGTGTCACGATCCTCCAAATCCTCGATTCGATTACATTTTCGATTCTAAAGTCACGGTTCGATTCGATTCTCGATTTAAAAAAGAAAAATTTGAAAGCACAAGCTATGCCATTTTAAGACTTTTATGCAATATAATAATATCTGACCTTTGTTCGCAATGTACCACACACTACATTGTCAAATTTAAAATGTTTATTAACAATATAATGTAACAATAACTTATATCTTCAGTCAATTGGAAACTTATACAAAATAACCTGCCATCTAATTTCTCTTTTGTAAGTGCAGTTTTCTTCACAGATGATGACATTCAAGTTCACAAAAAAATAGCAGTTTCAAGTTCTTGTTAAAGAGGAATATGAAAAGAGAACTGCTAAAAATATTGCAAAAATACTGTCAAAAATATTAACTATTTACATTTATATGGGCAGATTTTTTTTTTATAGTTTCATGTTCTTCTTTAAGAAAATGAGAATGTCCACATTCTCTGTGGAGAGGGCCGCTCTTTGAGATGTCACAATGTCCCCAGCTGTTGAGAACACTCTTTCACTTGCCACACTTGTTGCTTGTACAGCAAGATAACGTTTGGCAAGCTTGGACAAATTTGGGTACTGGTTCTCATTATCTTTCCACCATTTCAGTGGATTTGAATCCGCAGAAATTACTTTACATTTTGTATAGCTGAATCTCGTCTTTTACAACATCAGGCCATGGTTTGGTTTCTGATGATGATGCAGTGGAGGCTGTGCTGAAAAAATCACCAAACAGTTCACTGAGTGCTGTTCTCTTTGTTGGGGGGCTGCCTCCACTGGTTGCTATCCTCTGCAGGGTTTTGGCTGGATCCTTCTCCTGAGGCATGAGACTGAAATAGTCACACACAAAACACTGTTGTTTAAGGTAATAAACAGGCAGAAATTATATTTAAGTGTGACAACAACAAACAGAAAGGATATTGTGATTAGTCCTATTCATGAAATATTATGAATGTGAAATTATGTAAATACAAAAAACAAACTACTTTAACTTAATCATATTAGCCTATTAGCATCACATACCTGTGTGGAATGCTCTTGCAAGATTTTCTCCTCCAGACAATTGAAGATATCATTCCGAGATATGTCATCCAGGTGGGGTAAAGTTTTAAACCTAGGATCCAAGACAGTGCTCTCATTCAGGAACTGTTGAAGTCTTGAGTCTGAATACCTCTCTTCAAAATTTGCCTCTATAGCAGATTTAACATCCTTTACAATTGTTGAATCTGTGTCACTGTGTTTCAAAGATGTCAGGATGGTGTTTTGTAGGGGCATGACCATAGACACAGTAGGCTGCTGTTCGGAACTCATGAAGGTTGTAACTGTTTTCAGGGGCTTCAGTACCTGACATACATCTTCCAGAACAGTCACGTCTTGATCAGAGAGGGTGATAAGGTCTTTAGCATTTAGCTTTTTCTGCAAGTGCAGAATAGATAGCAGCTTGTTGCTCTAAATAGTGTGTGATCATGTCATAGCTGGAGTTCCACCTTGTAATGACATCTTGAACCAGCGTGTGAGGAGGAAGCTGAAGCATGTCTTGTTTTAACTTTAAGACGGCTGCTGCAGTGGTGCTTCTGTGGAAAAAAGTGACCACCCTCCTTCCCAAAAGACGGGAAATCTGGTTTACTCCCAAACCCTTCTGGGAGGCCAGATTCACAGTGTGGGCAAAACATCCAATGTGTGGAGACAATCCAGCTGCATGTGAGGCATTGACAATGTTCTTTGCATTATCAGTTGTCACAGGAATTGTTGCATTTTGTCTGTTCAACTTCCATTCCAGTACCACTTCCCTCAGCACTTCTGCTAAATGTTCACTTGTGTGAGCTTCATATATGGGGCGAGTTTGAAGTACTGGATTTTGAATTTCCGAGTCATCATTAATGTAATGCGCTGTGACAGTCATGAAGCTCTGTGTTGCTCTGGAGGTCCAGCAATCTGTAGTCAAGGCTATTAAATGTGCACTGCTAAGACCTTCAATAACTTTCTCCTTCACATTATTGTACATGGAGGGTATCACCGTAGCTGTGAGATGCATTCTACTTGGGATTTCGTAGCGCGGTTCTAGCACGCTAATTAAATGCCTAAAACCGGAGTTTTCTACCACTGAATAAGGTTGCATGTCCGCGGCTATAAATACTCCTACCGCGCTTGTAATTGCCTTTGCACGTGTTGAGTTACTTGGAAGTTTTATTCCAAATGAAGACGGGAGAGTAGTTTGTGTTACACTTGTCGGTTTAACAGATAAATCTATGTTTTTGTGGTGCCTGCGGAGATGCCCTGCCATGTTAGTCGTGCTGCCGGTGGAATAATGTTGTATACGTACATAGCAGAGCTTGCAGTAGTGGAAAAAAAGACAAATTCCACAACC